ACCATATTTTATTTTCTAGTGCTACTCCGGTTCTGTCGCGTGCTCCATATTGTTAGAGCCTCGTTTTGGGCCGTCCTGTTTTATGAAAAGAAGCCACGTTGACATTTGGCAGATTTGAATAATTTAAGTGATCGACTGCTTTCTTATTCCATCTGTCTTGCCATCCCTCCGAAACTCTTAAGCTTGGAGACCCAGAAATACGCCGTGATGTTGCAAAATATGGCTTAACTGAGGGTCTGAGATAGTGGTTTCAAGACGTTTGAACTTCCAGCCCAGTAGATCGGATTTGTAATTCGTTTTACTTTGAATATGTCTGTACTATAAACGCGTTATTAGCAAACCTTTGAAAAAAAATATTTTATATACCTGTTACGAGTTGTGATCACCATCGTTGACATCAGTGGTGTACTATTAGTTTTGTTTATTACGGATGTGATCATGCCAGGCCAAACTGACCTATTTGCCTTAGCGTATTTTACGTCTCCGACCGTGACGATATGTGGCAGCACATCTGTAGAAGTAGGCCTATTCTGGTCAGATAATGCAACCAAAAAACCCTCTGCCACGGCAAGGAACATCAGAAGTCGCCTACAGGGTTTAATGCAGTTGTGGACCAAGCAGCCACATCAGAGCAACCGAAAGACTTCTCAAGACGCGAATTGCCGAACACGCGACAGCAGTGCGGATAAATGATGCCAATTTTCAAGTCGCGGCTCATTCAACGAGACCCGGACATGCACTCCAATTTAATGAGGCCGAAAGTCTCGCTTGACATGACTCTCGTGTGGGCTGACTTAGTCTATAAGCAAGTGCAATGATCTGTCCAACCCATATTTCGTGCTGAGGCTCATCTTGACCAAAGCAATTGGCCTCTCGGGGAACGTACCCGTCTTCCGACGCCAGTGCCGAGCAATCATCGCGTGAAAATCCAGCACGAGAGATGAAAGTTCAGCAGGTCACAACCCGCACGCTGGCCATGAAGTGATTAGCACAAAACCGGTCACCTATAGTCGATCGGGGCAAGCCGTTACTTGTTATAAGTATGCACAATCATAGCCATTGTATCCTTTAATTGCAGTAACTCCCCGTCCATGAAGCAGCAGTTGCTGATACCGTCTCCGATATTTGGTTCGCGAACATGATGGTTTACGCCACAGCGCATCTGATGAAGCAACCGTATTTTCTTCTCTGGTGACGGATGGACTGCGTTAAGTGTGTCCTTCGTCGCCTCCAACTAAACTATTGCGTCGGCAAAGGCAGCGGAATGCCGGCGACATATGATTAAGAACGTGCCCCAAATACTTTAGTCGTTTTTTTCATCTGTGGTATCCTCGCGATGTCATTGCAAAGAGTGCAGACTGCCTCATGTCGGACAAAGTCGGCGTTTTTCACCTGGCAACTGCTATCACACCCCTAGTTTTGTCACATTTTCCCATCGCGGCCTCACCCCCACACCAGAGAAATGGCCGGACGATAGTACTTTTACCTTCACTTTTGTTTATGAATTGACTGACTGCGCTGCCGACCTCACTTACTCCCCGCGACGCTGCTGTCGCAATATGTATCCGGGACTTTTTAAATCACTCGAGTCTGACATCGTTTCTGCTATTGTCTCTCGTGATGGTTTCCAGAAGGAATCTGAAACCTCAGGTGAGCAAACTTCCTGTCCCAGCGATCGCCCCAACTTCTTCTCAAAGACTTTTGTGGATGAAGATTGCCGACAAAGACCGCGGAAACTGCAATAACCATTTCTGGCCCCTTGGCCGTCATCAGCCAATCATACCCAATTCTAGGTGGTGCGCCACCCTAGGGCTCGAACCCGCAGCCTGTTGATCAGAAGTGCAGATCGAAACCGGCAAGACAACGAGCCCGTGACGCAACGGTTAGAGCGTTGAACTTCTGATCAATACGTCGTGGGTCCGAGCCCCGGATGGTGCACCACTTGCAGTTGGCTATGACTGACTGATGACGGTTAGTGGACCAAATTGGTCATTCCAGTCTTCCTTACCTTTTCCAGCAATGCTCATCTGCCTAAACTACTAGTCGCTGTGCGGCTGTTGGCTGGGATCGAGGGGGGGCGGGGTCAAGGCCGAACTGGACGACCGAGTTCCGTCGGCGATTGGTAAACGCTCATCAACCAAAGATCTTTGCATCAATTTTGATGTTTTTATAGTTCTTTTATTTTGTCGAATCTCCCTTCATGGAGACAATCACAAGAATGGCCGAGCCTCAGGTCTCGTGAACGATCCAAACTTCGTATGCTTGGGCTTCTGACTTGTTCAACTGTTTTTGATTGGGGGGGGACTGTATCACCGGCGTAAACCGTCCTGAGCGGAAGAGGGGCTTACGATGCGGACTTCTTGCTTCTGAGTGGTTTATTTCTCATTTCAATTATCTTGCGCCAACTATTAAGTTATTTAATCAATTATTCATATTTTAACTTTTACATGCTCTATTTTTTTCTTTCCCCGATTTAACTGTTTTATCACCGGTCCCGTACTACACAAGCGCGGCGTTTCTTGTTACTGGAATCGTTGCCGCGGTTCCTTTACATTCTTTTTAGTAACTTTGCGCTCTGTCTTCTTTCTTTTTGGTATAGAAATTAGCATCTCAGGTCTCCGAGGACCAGTCCTCAAGCCCACCATGGATGCTGTCTAGCGCTGCCGGCGTTGCTGATACTAATAGTCGGTTTCTACCACCGGGAAACCGAACCAAACAGGTTGCCGACTGAGGCCTCGCCCTCTCTATCTCGCACACACATCATGCCTCGTCTTGCGCATCTTATCGGGACATCTACTTCGCCCTCCGGCTACCAGCCCTTTCTGCAACATGTGATCGCATTTTGTGAAATCTGTACGCGCTCTCTACCGCCTCTTTGTCCCTGTTTTGTGATCTTTGTGTCCTCTGGGATCAACGAC